TCATTCTTCTGAGTATTCCTTGTGAATAAAACAGAATACTACTACTAATTTATACAAAATCAGCCTATTTTTATGATGTAGATATGTTGTTATGGATAAAGTGCTTAGAGCAAAGCAAGGAATAATAAATATTAAGTAATACATGCGTTATGTGCTGATTTTGTGTCATGTACTTTTTTCTCTTAGAAAAATGTCTAACTGCTAAGTAATTCACTCCACAATGGCTGTATGTACAGAGTTTACCGTTTCAGGTGCTTGTGGAAATGACACTGTAGCACTGCCTGTAGGACGGTAAAGTGGTTGGCTACTGAGAGGTTGGGGGTTCTAATTTGCCCAGTGACTTTATGTGAGAAAGAATCTAGTGACCTTTAGCCATCTATTAGAATATACTAGCTAGCACATCACAACAACAAGTCTCTCTTACAGAGTCCCTGTGAGTCTGGATTTACTCAATATCCATGGGGTTGACCTGGAACAGATGCCAAAAGATTCCAGGTGGCACAGTAGCTAAGCATTTGGCTGTAACCAAAAGTTTGGTGGTTTGAACCCCTGAATGCATCCTTAGAGAAAAGACTTCTACCATGATCCTGTAGGATTCTAGCCCAAGAATGCCGGTGACCTCGTCCACGGGGGTTTGTACTCTTAACCTACAGGAGACACCTCTCTAGCAACTCACATCCATGAGGATTAAGATGGGTATTCTCCTCATATATCCACAGCTTCTAAAGTCCAGTTGGAGGCCAGCCATGAGCCAGTTTCCCCTCCACAGCGATGAGATTTTGAGGGTTTCATAGTGGCCACCAAGAGTTAGAATTAACTTGAAGGCACTTGACAACTGTAGACTCAATATATCAGCAAAATCCACTAGTATTTCAGTTTTTCTTCCCTGTATCCTATTCTGTTAACATTTTACTAACCATACAGTCGTAGCAAGAGAAAGCAATTAAATGACTCTTTCTTACATGAGAGGCACTCTCCTTGGTGCTATGGATAACTTTGTTTTCCCAGCAGGCGTCTCCTGTTGATTTTATAGTCTTTGTATGACCTCCAGCAATCAGGTCCATGGATTATGTCACCCTCATGTGCAACTTCAGCACGTCTCACCTTGGAGATCAGGAAACAGGCTTCCCACGCCTCCTGGGGTCAGCATGCAGCTTCGTGGCTCAGTTTTCAGTTCATTCCCTTTTGTTCTGTTTGTCTACTGCAGCCCAGCAAATCACCCAAAGCTAAGTGATTTAAAACAAGAATTATTTGATCATCTCTCACAGTTTTGTAGGTCAGGAGTTTGGTCAGGACTTACGAGGCCGTTCTGGCCCCGAGTCTTTAGGGCATTTGCAAGCATCCAGCATGCGAACCTCCCCAGGCTGCCCTTGTGGTCTCTGCCTGTGGTGGGTTAGGGCTTCTTCACCAGATGGTGTAGAAACTTCCAGGAGGGCTCAGCTCCGGGACAGGGCCAGAGCTGCAGTGCGCTTTGTGACCCAGCCTTAGAAGTCATCCACTGCCTCTTATCTTGAATATTGTTTTTTATTTTTATTTTTAATTTTTTTATTAATTTTAATGAAAATTTACAGAGACTTAGGGTTTCCAGTCATTCATTGTTGCACTTTTCTCCCTGCCCACCTCCTCACCTCCAATTCACTTTTCTTTTTGATGAGTAAAAGAAAAACTCTTTCATTCTTGTCTTGAATCTTACTGACTGTGAAAGAGTCACAAGGTAATTTCTAATTTTGTTTCCCGGGCAGGGCCAGGTGACTTTAACTCTTGATGTTGTTGTGTGCTGTGGAATCAGAACTTGTGTATTGCAGACTCTCCAGCAGGTTTTCAAAGGCAGTTAACCACACGGGAGGAGATTGCCAATCCTCTTGTGCACCTGCTAGTGGATTTGAACGACATGCCTTCGGGATTGCCACATGACTTCTTAACCACTAGGCCACCAGAGCACCAACTCTTGATGAGGCAGAGGTAAAAATCTAGAAGAGCTCATGCCAGGTAAAATCTAGTCAAGAGACAGTGTATTTGGAAAATACCATGTGCCACATCCTTAGACATGTTTTCCAGTATATCAGTGCTGACTTAATTCAGAAGAAAATCCCACTCACAGAGTCCTAAACACAAAAAAAGAAGTTTATGTTTGTCTTACATAAATGAAGTCCAGGGACAGATATTCCAAAGCTATGTGGTGTCTTCTGTCTTGCTCCTATGCCATTATTATTACGGTTAAGTGCTATGCTGTTGGTTCCAACTTCTAGCAACCTATGAAGAAAAGGCCAGTCCTGCTCTGTCCTTACCAATGTTGTCGTGCTTGGGCCCAAGTTTTCAGCCACTGTCTCTAGTCTAGTCATCTCCTTAAGTCTCCTCTTCTTTCTTATTTGCAAACTTTCTACTTTCCCAAGCATGACATCCTTCTCCAGGAACTGGTCCTTCATGATGACGTGCACGAAATGAAATCTTCCCATTTTTGCTTCTAGGGAGCATTCTAGACTACCTCTTCCAAGGCAAATCTGTTTGTTCTTCTGGTAGTCACATATATTTAGTATTTTTCATCGGTGCCAACAATAAGAGGAATAAATTCTTCCTTCTCTGTCCAACTTGTACATGCTTATGAGGTGACTGAAGAAAGCATGGCTTGGGTCAGACACAGCTCCATCTTCACAGTGATGTCTGTATTGAAAGCCTGTCTTTCTTGTTTGTTTGTTTTGTAGTTGACTATACTTGCTTCAGCTTATAGCACTCAGATTTCAGAAAAGAGAAAAACGGGGAGAGGGCAGACGGACATTTTTCAATAGACGCAACTCTCTTTAAAGACCTTTCCAATGCCTTTCCTCTGGTCACTTTCACTTATATATCATGATTAGCTGGGCATTTTACATCACCAAGGAAGAAGGAGGTTAATAAAGGAAAAGGGAGAAATGGGTGTTGAGTAAGAAGCCAGCTGTGCTTGATCCCCTCAGGTACTCTCCCTCTCTTGTTATTTGGACACCATGCTGAAAATGCAACTGCTCTTGCGGCTGGCAGTCTCCCTGGTGAACATGGAGGATGAAGGACACCTTCTCCTTCCTCTGGGAAGCTTCCTCCTTTATCTGGGGCTCCCAGGGCTCCGAGACCTACTCCTTTGGGCCTGCTCTACTTTGGCCCGAGGCTGGCTGGGAATAATTACACTGCACTGTGGTGGTGGAGAGGCAGGACAGAATGTTAATTATACATTCAGACTCTTGTCTTTTGTTCCAAGACTGCGCCTTTCCTCAGACATGACTTTTCCCCTGAGCTCTGCTTGTGGGAACAATTGATCACTTACATTATAATGTGTTTATGTAATAAACTCTCTGCTTTTCTCTTTTCAGGCTTGGCTATCATTACTCAAAGCCATGGTTTGAGAACTTAAAACTTCTTTCACCACTCAAAAGTCTAGGTTATTTAATTTAGTTTGTTGGACTTTAGCAATTCAGATTCTTTGCAATGAACCTGAAAAACAAATCCTTTTATGAAAAAGCAAAAATCCCACATAAGAGTCACAGAGTTTGATGGGTGGAGGAAGGGGGTGAAAGCACTAGGAAAAAGCCATTGGGGATCTGAAAAGACAGGAGAACAGTGGACAGAAATCAATAGTCTTTAATTTTTATACACATGTATGAGAATGATCATATAAAACACAATGTGAGTTGTTGTTGTTTGTTCTTGTGTACCTTTGAGTCAGAACTGACCCACAGCTGACCCTCCAGTAAGTTTTCAGAGGCAGTTAATCTCACAGGAGGAGATTGCCCATTCTTTTTCTGCGGGGCAACTGGTGGATTTGAACTACTAGCCTTCAGGATTGCAGTGCAGGTTCTTATCACTAGGCCACCAGGGCTCTCCATACAATGTGAATGGAGTTAAAAAAAAACCCAAACAAAACCAAGCCCACTTCCACAAAAATGAGTCATTGCAAATGCCCCTGGAGCATGGTTCTGCTCGGACGCTATCAGGGATGCTGAACAGCAAGGTTGACTCTGGGATAAACGGTGTTTATACAAGGTATGGTGGGTAGTGTGAGGGATTTGATCTAATGAATATTCAAACTCACTGCTGTGAATTTGGAACCAACTTACAGGTGACCTTCCACTGGGTTTTTGAGGCTATAAATTATAAGAGGGCAGATTGCCTGTCTTCTTACATGGAGCCGCTGGTGGAAATCTCCCTACAGAGTAGGCCACCAGAGTTCCCTCCCTAGTGAGTCCCCTCCTTAGTTCTTGAACTAAGTCCTCTTCCCTTGTCTGAAATACTGCTGTCCCCAGGCTTGACGTCTAGGGAAGGAGGGAAGAAGTCTGTCCTGCTGGGCCTTCAGGCTGAGCTCAACTCTCACTATGCATCCTGTTGAGAAATTGGACTGTGGATGTGGAAATTTTACTGCTAATGTTTTAACCCATGCAATAATTATTCTGTTTGAAAAGGAGTTAATAGCTTCCTTGATAAAATGGAGACCAGCCCCAAGCACATTACAGAAGGCTTAGACTTTCTTTTGCTGGCAGAACACCAAGAGTTCAGGGCGAAGGTTACAAAATGAGCAGAGAGAAAGGTGAGGAAAAAAGTGAAAATCCGTCTTGGAGATTATCTTTCTTTTACTGTCCAGTGCATTGTAATACTCATCAACCCAGCCTCTTTTCTTTCTTGGTCATAAGTGTAGAGTCCAGGTAATGAGTAGTATGTACACCATCATACTCCCCTCTCCTTGGAAATGAATCCGTTTACTCTTATTTTAAGTTCTCCCAGGTGCCCACACCAGTGTAAAATCTCCAATGCGGCCTTTCGTTTGGTCCCTTGACAAAATGACTGGTAATCCTGCTTGAAGAGAAATGTCATACGTCCTTGAAAATGTAACTGTCAATGCCAGTAGCTATGCCATTAAAATTTCATTTAATATCTAGACATTCCTCTTGCCATAAAGAATTCCATTCTACTTTCCCGGAGCTGTTGAGTTGGAGCCAGCATCTCTGTGTTAAATACCACGCTCAATTATCTCACAGGTCCTTCATTCCTTTACTGATGCCATTTTTGATGAGTGGATGAACAAGGTTAAGCCTCCTGTTGACGCCTGGCCTGAGGAGTTGGCTCCCATTGGCCACAATCGGATGTACAACATGGTACCTTTCTTCCCTCCGGTGACGAATGAGGAGCTCTTTTTACCTGCAGACCAACTAGGCTACACCTATGCCATTGACCTGGCAGGTAATGTGGCTTTCTAACGGGGTGATTTATTTATTTTCCAAAGGACCCTCCATTATTCATTCCTTCCTCCCCTTTTACCATCCCTTCCTTTCTTCTTCTCCTTCTCCTCCTCCTCCTCCTCCTCTTCCTCCTCCTCCTCCTTCTTCTTCTTCTTCTTCTTCTTCTTCTTCTTCCTTCTTCCTCCTCCTCCACCTCGCCTCCTCCCCCTCCTCCTCTTCATTTTAATAAAAGTTTACAGAGACTGAATTTCCATTCATTCATTGTACTTTTCTCCCTGCCCAACTTCCTCCACCCCATTTGCTCTTCTCTTTGAAAAGTAAAAGAAAAATTCTTTCCTTGTTATACAAACGTTTTCCTTTCTTCTCCACCTTTCTTTTACTTCCTTTCTCTCTTCCTTTTTTTTTTTTTTCACAGAAACCAGGCCCTTTAATGAAATGTTCAAGGCTGGTTTAATTGACTGTTTTCTTGAACATGTGTGTACAGTAAACATGATCCTTTCACTACTAATTAAAGAGCCAGGCCTTAGTTGGCTGGCTGTTGATTTCAGCAAACAGAAGTTGTTAAGAGACTTGTTCCACACAGGGAAACTTCTATACCTGATTTGATATTTCTATCCAAATTAATTGGATTCATCAAACTACTCAACATGCCAAAGGGGGGGAAAATCAACATGGTAAGACTGCTGCTTGTACACAAGGACCGACAAGAATCTGAGCTGTTTACTCGAAGGCAAGTTACATCAACAGCAGTTTAAAGTATGACAAGTGGAAACCAACCTAAGCCCCTAGAGAGGGAGGCCTGGTAAACTGCTTCCTCCAAGACCACAATCCAGAAAACCCCACGGCACAGGTCTGTTCCGGAACATGCGGGCTTGTCAGGAATCAGGAGCTGACCCAACAGCAGCTAACAGCACACAGCAGCTTGAAGAAAGAGCTGGGACCAGGGTGAGGCAAGTGCAGTACTCGCCTGGGTTCCAGAATGAAAAGGGATGCCAACCCAGCAGGCATCAAGATGATGATGACGTGGTGTGTTAGTTTTTTAAAAAAAAATCAATTAACCCAAGGAACAAAACAAAAAGCCTAGAAAGAAAAATTCATAATGGATAAACTTTCAACATTTTAAATGAAGGCAATGTATTGCTGTTGACCTGATGCCCCTACATTATTGTATAGGTAGATCAATGTTTTCTTTGAATCAGCCAGACGCCCCTTGTCAGGTGCATTTATGAGGAGGTTGAACTTAACCTGATGAAAACCTAAGATGCACAGTGCTTTATAGCTGGCTCTTCTTCTCTTCCCTTTCCCCTTTTAAATAAAGAGCTTTTGCCACCTTTTCCAATCTGATTCAGACTGCTAGATGGTATTTTGGTAACTGAATCTACATCAAATGGAGTTGGTTTTATATTATGCTTCATATGGCCTTCTTGGCTAGAATCTTTGTGATGATGAAAGCAGTTTGTTAGAGGCTACTAATAGAAAGGTTGAAGGTTCAAACACCCCCTGAGATGCCATGGAAAAAAGGCCTAACGATCTCCAATTGGCAACATCATTATGGAGGGTGAAGAGATTGAGACTGTTAACCGTTTCAGTTTGCTTGATTCCACAATCAACACTCTTGGTACCAGCAGCCAGGAAATTAAGAGATAATTTTCATTGGGAAAGTCATCAGTAAGGGACCTCTCCAGAGTACTAAAGAGCAATGACGTCAAAGCTGGAGACTAGGGTACTCCTGATCCAGGCCATAGTCTTTGCAATTGTGTGCTATACATCTGAAAGCTAGACAATGACTAGGGATGATATAAAGAAAATTGATACCTTTGAGCTGTGGTGCTGAAGAAGAGTATTGAATATACCATGGACTGCTGAGAAAACAAACAGGTTCATCCTGGAGAGAATTAAACCAGGCTGCTCCTTGGAGGCAAGGATTCTGAGGCTTCATCTGACATATTTTGGACATGTTTCAAGGACGGACTGGTCCTTGGAGAGGTCATCCTTCTTGGTAGGGTAGAGGGACAAAGCAAGAGAGGAAGACCCTTGATGTGATAGATTGATTCAGTGATTGGGGTAATGGGAGTAGGTGTGTCAGAGGCAGTGCGATTGGCACAGGATAGAGCGGGGTTTAGGGCTTTTGTACATAGGGTCACCATGAGTTGCAAATGACTTGACGACACATAACAACAACAATAACTCTTGGGAGAAAGAAGAGTCAGTATGTACTTCCATTAAAATGCAGAGCCATGGAAACTCAGAGGAGGATCACCATAAGTTGGAATCAACCTGACGGCTGTAGGTTACTATTATATGAGGAAGAACAGCGGGGGCCTTACAGCTGGAAGAAAGGTCAGAAGGAAGGTGGCCTGTTTAGAAACAGTTGTGAAGAAACCCGGTTGTAGTGGAAGGCTGGTGTAGGGTACTAATGGAAAGTAAGGATCTGGTTACAGAAGGTTTTAAAAACAAAGCAGAAGAGCTTGGGCAATAATAAAATAAAAAGAATAAAAATAAACATTTTATTGTCATTGTTCCTGAAGAAAAGAAATAGCAGAACGAAACTTGGCCTTTAAGAAGCAGAGACTGTGAGAGTGTGCTGTTAGATTGTACCTGGAAGGGATGAATTCAAATCCTCTTAGTGGACACCAGTTGAAATGGGTCAGGATTCTCGGTGGGATTGGAAAGGAAGCACTAGGAGGATTTTACCCTCAGATGAGTGAGAATATAGACCAAGAACTCTGTTCAGAAGAATTCAATTTTAAAATGTAGGGCTTAAGGAAAAAATATTTCTTAAGAAATTATTAATAAGCACTAATAGGTTAAAAATTGTCCGTGAATTTCATTAAAGAGAATGTTTGAGTGGGAGATTGGATATACTATATATGTAAGATACAGATTTTCTTTACGGACATTTTCAATGTCATCTGCCCCTGCTATTGGAGGACTCCTATTATAATAACCAATCTCATTTCTCTCCTACATTTATCACCTTATAAAATAGGCAGAGTCAATAGCAGAATTTCTCCACCCCAGGGCTCTATATTTTGTGGTTCCCCAGATACCATTTTAGTGTACACTTCTACAAAAGTGTTTCTAACTCACCAAGTAGTTATATACTTCCTCCGAGGCCATATTCTGCATTAAGTACTGTAAGGAGGGAAAAAAGTAATGCAATAAGCTGTATTTAAATAATGGAATGCCAGTTTCAACCTCCTCAAGAAAAACAATTATGGATATGATAAATAGTTGGTGAGGAAAGAGAGGATAAGTTTTATTCTTCTGGGAATAGTTCTGCTTTGTCAACAAAACGCTTGTGAAAGGCAAATTGGTTTATTCTTCGCTAAGGGCATCCAGTTGATGAAAATCCTAATCAGAGACCTTTCTTTTCTGCTTTCATTTCAGTTCAAGAAACTGCTGTTTGGACCTCAGTCCTCTTGTTGGTGATAGGAGTGCTGCTGGTCCTGGCTGGGTTTTTTGTACTGCTGGGTTTTCTTCAGTACAGAAGAGCAAGAAGAGGATACACACCCCTAACGGAGGCACAGTTAAGCTATACGAAGTACACAGAAGACAAGTAGGGTGCCGCTGGCTCGTCCCAGAGCAAAGACGGCCAGCCCAACAAGGAACTCAGCAGCCCTTACTGTCCTTCCTTTCCTTGACGATCTGAGTTGGTAGCACTTTGCTCGGACATCTCTGTCATACATCCTCTGACCGTGACAATAATTTAAAATACAGAAGATTCTTAGCTTCTGTAGTTTCTGCTTTGTTTATTTGGAAATAGAAACAACACCAAACTCAAGCCAAGGAAGGTCTTGGTGGCTTAGTGGGTAATGAGTTTTGCTACCAACCCAAAGGCAGGTGGATTGAATCCACGAGCTGCTCCTTGGGAGAAAGATAGCCAGTCTTCTCCTGTGTGATTTACAGCCTCTGAAAACCCGCTGAAGGGGCAGCTATGAGTCAGTTCTGACTCGACAGCACATAACCTCAAGGTAGAGAGTTTGGAGCCAGTTCTGTTATGAAATATGAGTTAACCATTTGTGATAATAATAGTAATAATAACAATAATAATAAAATTCCTCACACTGATTAAGCCTTTCTGTGTTCTGAGAACACTATGACATTGACAGATTGACTTTTTAAAAATTTGCATGTCAATGTAATTTGAGACTTGTGTAAGATCACGGCTTAATCTCTCTTTGACCAAGTGTTTTTTTAAAGAGTGTGTTGGAGTAACAGGTGCTAGAACTCTCTAACATTCAGCTGTAAATGTATAACCTTGTTTCTCTCGCTGATTATCTTCTTGGGGTTTCAATTTTGAAATTTTCTCTCTTCCTCTTCTGCTTTGAAGAAAGCTTAATGATGAAAATATTCACATATACTGCCTTTGGTTTATTTTTAAGGATAAACTTTGGATTCCTTCATGCTGCCCTGTACTGCCAGTTGCTTATGAGTGTTAATCAACTAAGTCTTACCGTTTAATTACAAGCAAACCACTCATCCTTTGAATATATCCATTCAGAGTTGAATAATTCTATCTTGCTAAGTAATCTTCAGATCAAGAGAATTGGAGAGAGGCAAGCTTTCCTAAGATTCTCAGATATATCAAGATGCTCCGTACCGTAGAAAAGTCATTGGCTATTGTGATTTCAAGGCAAATTTCATCTGCTCGTATTTGGTGCCTGTGTATCAGGGGCGAGGCAGAAGAAATTTTAGCGAGGGGCTTGTCTGTAGGCTTGTTTTTGTCTGTCTCCTTCCAGTCAAAGTCATTGCCATAGAGTCAGAGCTGACCCATAGCTGACCCTCCATTCAGTATCTAAGGCTGTGTACCACATAGCAAGAAAATGACCCATTTTCCTTCCAGGGAGCCACTGGTGGACTCCAGCTGTCAAAGAGGGGTGCACGGGTGGAACACTCTGTGAGGAGGTGCACTGCTAATGCTCGCCTCTTCGGCACTTTGAATCTACCAGTGAGAAATCCATCTGCAGCTCTGAAGGAGGAACGGGGCAGTTCTATCCTGTGCCATTTACAGCTGCAGTAACCCTGGAGGGTCAGCTATGAGTTGGTTCCAGTTGAACAGCAATGACCTCACCACTGGAATGTGCGGTCAGTCGGTCAGTCGTGATCCCATGTGACAGAGTACAACAGCCCTACAGAGTTTTCCTGACTGTAATCTTTTCTAGGATAAGATTATCAGTCTCTCTATATTGCCACTGGGTGGGTCCAAACTGCCAAACTTTCTGGTTAGCAGCCAAGCGTTTAACCATTTACCTCAAAGAATGAGTATCAAGAGGGCCCTGGAGTTGCCGTCTACATATGGTGCCATCTTCACCGAGACCCAATGTCATCCTCTGCTATGGAACTGCTCCAGACCTCAAAGCCAGAGAAACGGACTAAACCCATTGGAGCAAACTTGAGTCAGAAGGGGTCTCACAAAGCTACAGGTTTCCCCGAGAGTGGACTCAGAGATGACACTCCAAAGGTGGACAGAAGCCCAGAGTCCTTCATGGGATGAAGGCCTGCTTGGGTCTTTTTAGCCTCAGCCACACTCATCAGTCTCAATCCCTGCTGCTACGGTCTCCATGGAAAACCCAACTGTGCTCCGTCAACAACCTTCATTCTGGGTGGTTTGTACTCTGGGATTGCTGGGGAACAGATATTCATAACCCATTCTTAAATGAAAAGAGAAATATATTAAAATGAAAGCATAATTGTGCCTGGTAGGTATGTTCCTTAAAATTATATGTAAATCAATTATATGTTAAAACGTACCCAGGGCTATTACTTTTTATAGATGAACTATTATGAATAATTCTATAAAGCAAATAACTAGCTTTACCTAGCGTTGGGTTACCCACTAAGCAAGTCTTATTTTGCTTACTTATTTATACTGGGATACATACATACATACACACATACATACATACATACATACATACATACATACATACATACACACACACATATTTTTACCAAAGCAAAGACTCTGCCTCTCGGAATGGCTGGCATCTGTCTCTCTTTCATTCTCACAGCACCTTCCTACAGAATTAAAGCCTCTTTTCAAATCTGCAATCCCAGACAGCAACCGCATACTCAGCAGGCCAAGCCAGCATTGGCTTACCTGTGCTGACTTAGGAATCTATAGTGAACAGTTGCACGTTTTTAATCTTGCCTTTTCAATCCATCCCTTCCTCTAGCTTATTTTTCAAACATATTATAGTTTCCATATATTGCATTCTTGTAAGTTTTGCTGAAAGCAAGATCTATTTGAGGTAGAAATACTAATCATTTCTTTTATTTATAATATATGCAATTTTATCGATAGTACACAAATTTTTTTACAAATAATATGTTTTATAATTTCTATCTACAAATAAGTTTCTTATTTTGTAGCTCATATAAAGAGAATAAAGTTTTGTAACATTTTCCAGGATTGCAAGAAATCAATGATGAATACCTGTTAACAAATCTATAGGAGAACATAAATATGCAAAATAGAAAAGTTGATATTTAAGTGAATATTATGCAAATGAACCAAAGTATCACTGGCATGAGGATAAACATCTCAACGATCAGAAAAATTAACATAAATCTGGTATTAAGTGTAGTAGAATTATAATTGAGTAGCAATTTTCTTTCATGAATTGAATTGCCTTCTAATTTTAAAATGTATTGATAGTAATACATATTATTAATTATAAGAATGATAATGAATAATTTTAATCTATTAATAAGAAATAAAGACATTTAAGTAGGAAAATAAATGTTACTTTATTCATCTCTGTTATTCATCTTTGGGGGGGCTATTGATTTTTTATTTGTAAATGTTGTTGTTGTTATTATGGGCCATTGAGTTGCCTGTGACTCATAGCGACCCTATGAACAACAGCTCTGAAGCCTACCTTGTGCTCAGCCAATCTCATGACTACAATACACCTATTCCCATTGCCCTAGTTACTGTATCAATCCATCTCAGCTAGGGTCTTCCTCTCCTGCGCTGTCCCTTCACCCTTCCGAGAATGAAGTCCTTCTCCAAGAATTGGTTCATCCTGGCCATGTGCCCTAAGCATGTGAGATGAAATTTCAAAATCCTCGCCTCCAAGGAGAAACTTGGTTTCACCCTCTCCAAGACAGACCTATTGGTTCTTTTGGCAGTCCATGGTATGTTCAATATTCTCCTTTAGCACCACAACTCAAAGGCATTTATTCTTCTTCTATCATATTTAGTCATTGTCTAGCTCTCTGAAATCTATCTCTATCTATTTATCTATCTATCTATCTATCTATCTATCTATCTATCTATCTATCTATCTATCATCTATCTATCTATCTATCTATCTATCTATCTATCATCTATCTATCTATCTATCTCCATCTATCCTCTCTCCCCTTCTCCCTCTCCCTCACTTCTCCCTCTCCCTCTCCCTCTCCCTCTCCCTTTCTCCTCCCTCTCCTTCTCCCTCTCCCTAATGGGTAAGGAATTGCCCTGTTAACCTAAAGGCATGTGGGTCAAATTCACCACCTCCTTTTTGGAACAAAGATGCAAATCTCCTTTCATGTAATTTATAGCCTCTGAAAACTCACTGCAAGATCAGCTATGAGTGTGTTTTGATTCCACAGCAATGAATGAGTGCTTAGTATGTATGTGTGTGTGTGTGTGTGTGTGTGTATGTGTATGTGTATGCATATGCATGCATCCTCGGAAAGATAGAAGATCATCAAAAGAGAAGGACACAAGAGAAGGACACTGCTCACCGCCTCCCCCCCCCCGCCCCGAGATAAATAGACACAGTGATTGTAGCAGTGGCTTTAAACATATTGGCTATAATGAGGATGGCACACCAAAGGGCAGGGTTTCAATCTGTTGCTTATAGGTTAGCTATGAGTTGTATAGTCAACATATTTGTAAAAGAGCAAGGGCCATGTGGGGATGGCCATCTCCGACATTTACCAACTTCCCAAAGGGGAACTATCCCCTTCAATAAGATCAATAACACAAAACCAATTCCCATGAGGTCAGACATGTCCCCCATACTCCCATACCTCTTCTACTTATCTCAACACTAATCTTAAAGCTTTCCTGAGTCCCAAATACTATGTGATAGCTCACAGAACACATAGAACCATACTGGAGAAGTAAAAAAAGTTGTAATCCAGCTTAATAACAGAATACAGTAAAGACAGGTCCCAAACTGTGCACAGACACCTCAGCCTTGAGTCTAGTGGCTTTAGGCCAAGTTCTCAGTCCTGCCAATATTCGCTTCTCATATCTTATTGTTCAACCAAGTTTTCAGTCCTTCCAATGTTGGCTCTCCCCACCCAAGGTCCCATCTCATGCCAGGTCTTCAGTGCAACCATAGCTGTTGCTGCCATAGGTGTAGCTGGAACACGGAGGGCACCATACATTCTCTTGCTTCTTGTTCAATGACATCAGAAGGTCTTTCTGCCTCTCGCTACTGGCTTGCTCATCTCAATGGCGAGACTAACCAGTCCTCTTATGGATTGTTGAGGCTGGCCAATCCCCTTGTGGAATGATAGATAGCAAATCCTGTTGTGGATGTGCTAACATTCCCATTGGCAT